TTTTCAAATTGTAAATATCTTAACTAAGGGAAGTGCTTTTGGATTTATTTACACAAATTAAATGTTTAAAGTTTAACCTGTGAACTGGTCCCAATTTCATCTGAGTAAACAGAGAAAAAAACTGATGAAAAAATTAATTTTGTGGTTATGGATTTCAAATTTCAAAGGTACTAAATTTTCTAATCATTGCTTAAGCTAATAGCTGGATCAGTAAATAAATACAGAAGGGTATTAGAGCTTTAAGGGCATAAAACTTTTGTATTTATTGAGTTTTTATTTATTTTTTGCAAGAAAAATTTTTAGTAACAATTTTTTACATCTGGCAACGCATAGCTACTTTGTTGGTTGGTATCTATGTACTCACAAAATACAGGTGTGCAGAGATAAACAAGTGTGTAACCAGTGGCGTATCACAAAAAATATAAAAAACTTCTAATGCATATTTTTTCTTTATCTTTGGAAAAATGCTTTTTAAAATATTTTTCCTTTATTCCTTATGTCAAAAGGTATTCAGTATTTTAATATATAACATTAATTACATAACACCCTGTATACATGTAGGTTTAATATTGTAGATACTTTTTATCCCGGTATGAATAAAAGCTTGACTTCGAAGAACTTTATTATGTGTATTTTTTGTTTCCACCATTACTTGACAATATTGCTTCTTTAGATTTTTTTTGGTAATGTTTCATTTTGGTTATATACGGCAATTGCCACTATTAACCCTTTTAAACAAAGTATAAATTGCTGTTTAAAAACTTGTAAGGTATATCTAGCTTTTGTTGACATTTTTAAGACAGTTATATGTATTTATATAAAGTTGATATTCTTTAAAATGTTTTTTACCGTTTTTTAATGCCATTTTTGTTGTTTTTTTCACCATATGTCTATGTTTTTTCCATTGGAAACTTACTTTCTTTCATTAATCCAATCAAGCAAAAAAACTATTTTGCCTAAAATTTGCGAATATTTTATTAAAAATTTCGTTCTTTACGAAAATTTGCAAATAATTTAATAAACATACAAATAGAAAATTAAAAAAAAAATTGTCAACACATTATTTATTCATTAATATTAAGAAATTTGCATTGAATATTTATGATTATGATGTAGAAACCAAATAACAAGAAACCAAAATTGTCAATTATGGAAATAAAATATATAATATTTCATTTTATTAATATTCACTCTTTTAAAAATTTCATATATCTAGTTTCAAAAGCGATCTTTAAAATACTCCATTTTCTAATTATCCACGTTAATGTATGAGATTAAATTTGTTATTAACGCAAAATAGCAGTAACAATTAATACATAGATGAGTTTACAGGTTTATAAAAAGTTAAATAAAAAAACAAAAAGAATATAAATTATATATTACATCTGATTTAATTGGCGTTTAAAAGTACAAGGAAACGCCAAAAAACTTAAATTAGGCATATCATTAACAATCCTTAACACACGACAATGTAATAAGAGATTATTTCTTAAGTCTCTACAAGGAGTATGAATTAAAAAACAATACAATATTTTAGGGTCCACAATAAGGCTGTTTATCACTTTATAAAAAAAGTTGCATCTTCTCTGTATAATTGTTTTAGCCCCAAATACTGTCTTGTTTGATCAGTGTTTAGTTGAAGAGACAGCTTATAACGCATATAACGAATAAATCTATTCTGAATGCTTTCCAACAAATGTAAATATGAACAGTATAAACTTGAGACCAGATCATAAATGCATATTTAAGTTTAAAACGTTCCAAGGATGTATGCAGAATCAAAAATGCACATTGCCTAAAATTATCAGTACCCATCAAAATTAACCGTTTTAAACAAAGTATAAATTGCTGTTTAAAAACTGGTAAGGTATATCTAGATTTTGTTGACATTTTTAAGACAGTTATATGTATTTATCTAAAGTTGACATTCTTTAAAATGTTATACCTGCTTATAAAGCTTAAATTGTCATACTTAAAACAGTTATAACAAGCTTAAGTTGACATTCTAAAAACAATTATATCTTAACACAAATTTATCCAGATGGTTGTAAAAATGTCCCAAGGATGATAGTATCCATTAAGTGTCCACATTTTAAGAACAGACTTGTGATTTAATTCATATTCATAATTTTACGTCCACTTTTTGTATATCATTAATATTGCAAACAAAATTAGGATTAGACTCCTTAAAAAAATAAGTTAAAACCTTAAGTTTTTATACGAATTCGTATTAGTTTACGCACACGCTTAGTTTCGTTCAGGGACCCGGACCGAAACCGAAAAAAACCGAAAACCGGAACGGAACCGGTTTTTTTCCGGACCGGAACCGTTTTCGCTTTTGATAAAATCTGTTGAACCGGAACCGAAACATTTATTTGCTTTTCGGTTCTTTTAGGTTTTTTTCGGTTTTAGCGCTACCAACATGATAAAAAAATAAAAATATTTATCACGTTGAAAAGTTAACAAAAGTTAAGTGATATAATAATATGTGAGAAATTATTGTATTTTGTTTTTTAATTAAGTTGTTGTAAATTACAACTTGTAATTAAACAAAAAATTAAAACAATCTGATGAAGATCAAAACGATACGCAGGTGGACATAGAGAACCAAGCAAAAAATATGAATATTAAAAAATACAACCTTCTTTGGATCAATTTATTATAAAAAAAACAACTAAATAACTATAATACTTATTATAATGTTGATTAATAATTATTAATTTTTATTTTTAATTTAATAATTATAATTATTTAATTAAAAATAAAAATTGCTTCAAAAGGTAAACGCTAAAATAAATTGAAATTTTCATTGATGAAGTCATGATACTACATGGTGGAAATTTTATATATCCTTAGACATTGTTGATGAGTGTATATATATATATATATATATATATAGGTTAAAATTACGTAAACCAAATAACCTCACTGGAACCGCTTAAAACCGAAAAGAACCGAAATAAACAAGCGAAACCGGACCGTTATAACTCCACGGAACCGAAACCGAAATCGGAACCATTAAAACGAAGATTGGCTAAATCAAAACTGTACCGGAACCGATATTTTATATAGGTCCTGTCCCTGGTTTCGTTCCATTTATCTGATTTTTTTATAATATCTGAAATACCCTAAAAATAATAATAATAATAATAGTAACTTAAGAATCCCTATATTTTTAGCATGTTCAAACGTGTGGATTTTTTACTTACTTCAACACCAAAACAAATTAAAAGCAGTGGCGTGTCATATTTCTTCTTAAAAATAATAGCCAATGGAATAGATTAATTAAATTTAATTAATCTTATTTGCAAGTAGGTACACAACGTTATAAGAAACTTTAATAAAGGTTTTTTTAGATATTAGGAAACAACAGATATTAAAAAAATGTAATATGTATCTCGGAAGGAAGTGTTTCCGGAAACGAATTAAGAAGGTCTTTTTTATTTTTTATGCAATTAAGGGACCGTTCATTAATTACGTGAGACAATTTTGGCGATTTTTAGACCCTCCCTCCCCTTGATGAGATGTCGTGAGATTTTGCTCGACCCCCTCCCCCCTTAATCTCACGTGGGATTTTTTTAAATGCATAGTTTTAATGTAAATTAGTTAATCTGTGCTTGATTCCATTAGATTTATTAAAAAAAAACAATTTGCTTATAATTTGTTTATATTTAAGATTTGTTGTATTTAAGATTTCTAATATTATTAGTTAAACGTAGCATACACGGTGAAAAATGTCCATTAAATTTTACTCACTGGACTATATGAAACTGTCTTCAAAATTTACAACTGTCGTGTAGTGCGCGTCAGTCACGATGGTATGGGAAACTTGTAAATTTTGAAATAAAATTTTCTTAAATACTAATATGTGATTAAGTACTAAAATGACCACAAGCGTCGCTTCATTGGAACCATAACCAGTTTTTACCTTAAAGTTATAAATAAGAAAATGTTTATGTGCATGCAGTGTTTAATTATTAAATATTTTAAAGTTAAGTGTAATTGAGAAATTAAAAAGATTTGTAGATGTTCCTAAGTGATAATTTTTATTAAAAAAAATTCGTAATTTTACCGCACAGCAATATTCGTGAAACATAAGTTTACAATTTATCATGCATTAATTAATTAGATATTTATATATAATATACTGAACATATTTCTTAGATATCTAAATTTTTATTTGGGAGTCAATAATTATTAACGTTTTATTAAATAGTAATAAAATTTTAATACTATTCTACAGATAATTCAATGAAGATCATTCTAGGATCTCTTAAAATTGATTTTAGTGAAATAATTACGAAAAAATATCACAGAAACAAAACAAAAAATGTCCTGAAAACACGATAAGTCGCGAAAAATTATTCATTTAAGTTAAATAAATTGAATTCGACTTCTCTCGTGCAACAAAAGGAATAAATGTCAATTTAAATCCACATTTACAAATGGTTACTGAAAAAACAAAAAAAAATGTTTAAAATTGATAATAATAAATGTAAAGAAAAACATTTTTTTATGTAGAAAAATTTTATTTTATATTTTTTTACTATCAAATTACCACTATTATTAATTACACAGAGTCGTGCACTTTTTTTAAATTTGATTATTTAATGCATATTTATCAACAGTTCATATTTAATAAATAACAATTCATATTTAATAAATGAATGAATTGTTTCCAAATAAATGAATTTAATAATAGTTAATAAATTTAAATTAGTGCATAATTAAACGATTAGTATTATTATGTATGATTTAATCCTATTTTTGTGGATAAACATTTTTTACTTAATTTAACCCAGTTTTCTCGCAATTTTACACTCTTTCTTTCGGAAAAAAATACGTGATATTTGCCGAGAACCCCCCTCCCCCCACGTGAGATTTGGTGAGGTAATTAATGAACGGCCCCTAATGCATAATATTTTTCGCAATATTAGTGAACTTTGTATTTTATGGGAAAAAATGTTCTTGATATTCCAATTTTAAAAGTTTTATCTTACCACTTCGGGTATTCGTTGGATGCTGTAAGTGTCCTTGTACATAAGGCCGCTGAACACGGCGAGCAGAGGCGACTCGACGCTGTCGCCATCGAAAATGTATAGGTGATCCCAACCGCATTCGGTGGCGAATTCTTCGATGTGCAGCGTGATGGTCGAGTTTGGCGCATCCACCAGCCAGCTGCACTTCAAACCCATTGTGTAGTTGCCGTTTCCGTCGTGGATGACGCCGGTCGAATTACCCAGTCTTAAAGAATATCTCAATTACCGTCATACATTAAAAAAAAGGGGGATCGGAAAGCAGGAACAAACCTGCCGATCAATGCACATATTTTGGTTCTTTTAGGAAGAAACAATAATAAAAGTTTTAATTGTTTAAAAATATACACAAATCAAACTTAGTGTTTTGTTTATACAAGGTGTCCCTAAACTTATTGGCATAAATTTAGGAAAAGATTGAGCAAGTCAAAATAAGACGAAAACCTAAATAAATATTTTTTCTAATTACTTATGTTTCCAAGATACAGGGTGATAAAGTGTTCTTCTTCTATGGTAGTCTTGGAAAGGTGATATTTACACATAATTACAATTGTTTGAGTGAACACAGTGTCGTAGAAACTGGGGTTGCTTTAAGCTTATTGTCCCATACAAACTTTGAGGTTAGGATATTTTAACATTTGATGCAATTTTTCGATTACACAGTTCGGCTACCATTAAAAAGGTGTACCTCTCAAACTTTGATAAAATAAACCGTTTCCGAGATATTCGAGATTACAATAATTGTTATATCGCATTAAAGGATTAAAAGGTATATGATAACAAATTTTATTTTTTAATGAAAAAAGTAAAAAGGGTATTTCATGAGCCTCGGGACTTTTTGTCCTGACTGTCACATTAAAAAAATTGTAGATATTCAATTAAAAAATTTGTTATCACATAACTTTTTTAAAATCCTTTAATGAGATATAACAATTATTGTAATCTCGAATATCTCGGAAACGGTTTATTTTATCGAAGTTTGAGAGGTACACCTTTTTAATAGTAGCCGAACTGAGTAATCGAAAAATTGCATCAAATGGTATAAAAACCTAACCTCAAAGTTTGTATGGGACAATAAGCTTAAGCAACCCCTGTTTCTATGACACTGTGTTCACTCAAACAATTGTAATTATGTGTGAATATGTGTTTTGGTAGTAAGTGACTGTTCGCAAAATATCACCTTTCCAAGTCTACTATAGTAGAAGTTACATTAAAAAAACTGATATGATAAGTAACACTTTATCACCCTGTATCTTTTACACATACGTAATTACCTACTTACATGGAAGAACCCAACTGGTTAAACTAAATGGATTCGAATCTAGCATAATCAAGGTAACTAGTGGAGTTCCCCAGGGCTCCCATCTGGGTCCCTCATTGTTTAACATTTTTGTCAATGATATTGGTAAGTACTTTAGCTCGTCTTACTTACTATTTTCTGACGATCTAAAAATCTTCAGTCGAGTTGTTTCTAATCTGGATGTGATGGTTCTGCAACAAGACTTGGACTCCCTTAACCAATGGTGCATTAAGAACAAACTATTTCTAAACCACAGTATATGCTCTTTTATTCGATTCTCCAGGAAAAAAGTGGTCAACGCTATCAGTTACTCCATCTCAGGAAATGTGTTAAATGAAGTAAATCTAGTTAGGGATCTTGGCTTGTTATTGGACAATAAGCTCCACTTCTGCAACCATATTGACGCCATAGTCGCTGAGGCAAACAAAATGTTGGGCTTTGTATTAAGGATGTGTGCAGACTTTAGCACCCTTCGCCCTCTTGTTTTGCTCTTTGTGAGTTTGGTTAGATCTCGCCTGGAATATGGGTCAACTATTTGTTCACCATTTTATAATATTCATGTTGATAGAGTCGAGTCCATTCAAAACAAATTTGCTCGTCACATGAAGTACAGATTGCTCAAAGTTGGAATAGTATTAAGTACTCAGGATACCTTGCAATATCTAGGACAAAGTTCGCTTAAGAGGCGCAGATTAAATAAGGATGCTTGCTTCCTCTTTAAGGTATTTAATGGCTTGATTCAATCTTCTGATATACTGGCTTCTTTTAACTTGAAAATACCGACGAGGGACTTGAGGAATCCCATGTTATTAGATATTCCCAACTGTCGCACAGTATATGCCAGTAATTCTCCATTGAGTCGGGTTTCCAGAATATGCAACAGTCTCTCCTCAGTAAACTTTTTTAATTGCTCTTTGGCATCCTTTAAAACCCAGCTTAATTCCCTCGATGGTCTTTGATTGCTGGCATGTGTGGTGAGACAGACGAGGCTTTATTATTATTGGATTTTTGTACCTGATATAACATATTACATTATATTGTTTTTGTTACTAGAATTAATTTGATTTATTTATTGTAAACCAATGTATAACTGCTATTTAGCGTTAATAAACATTATTATTATTATTATTATTATTATTATTATTATTATTAGGAAAAATATTTAATTAGATTTTCGTCTTATTTTGACTTGCTTAATCTGCTCCTAAATTTATGCCACTAAGTTTAGGGACACCTTGTATAATATAAATTTGTTTATATATAATATCGGTTTATATTTAATCAATAATCATCAAGTATGTGTTAGGTATATGGACAGTGAAATAAAAGATATTATAATTTAACTTTTAAATATTTAATTGTCTTCAGTCTAAGACAACTCGGAAAGCAAGCGTAGAGGAGACTAAAACTAAAAGTGATACAAAATATTATTAGAGCACACACGCCCTATTTCATTCTTACATAAACATATGCAAGCACGTAACATTAACTGTGCTGATATTATAAACAGTAAATCTACGAGGTAAAGATAAAGAAGTTTTATTTAATAATATTTGGTTTAACTAATATATGTTTATATCAGCTTATTCAACACGCCACCTCAAATATTATTCAAATAAGTAAAATTAAAATAACATAAAACTAAAATTATGTTAACATAAAACTACAATACCATGTAACTAAATAACATACGTAAGTTATAACTTAAGAATATAAGTATCTAGACCTGCTTTCCTTATGTTTGTCTTTTCTGGGAAAATTACAATGATGGTCCAGCATTTGCTGTTTAAGATTAGGAAAAACCCAGAAAAACCTAATCAAACCATTTAACTTATTCAATACTTTCTAACCCTAATTCCTTTTTTAATTCTTCAAATCTCAGTGCCGGTAATGATTTTGTAAACATGTCAGCTACTTGCTTATCTGTGGACAAATGTTTTAATTTAATTACACCTTTCTCTACTTGTTCCCTAGAAAAATGATACTTTATATCAATATGTTTTGATCTTTTATGATTTGTTGGATTATTAGCAATACTTATGCAACCATTATTGTCTTCATATATAATGATTGGCTTAGATACATTTAAATTTATACTTATTGCTAATGACTTTAACCAAAGAGCCTCCCTGACAGCTTCAAATAGAGCCATATATTCGGCTTCAGTAGATGATGCCGCTACTGATAACTGTCTTTTTGTATTCCAACATATTACACATTTTTCAAATAATTTAAATAGGTAACCAGTTGTGCTTTTCCTATTTTTTACATCATCACCTCCCCAGTCAGAATCTACATAACCACTTAAGACATTGCTATAATCACATTTAACATATGTTAACCTTAAATTAATTGTACCCTTAAGATATCTAAGGACCCTTTTTAAGCATTGCCAAAGCTCTTTATTATTATTGTTTTGGTACCTGCTTAAAATATTAACAGCAGCACTTAAATCTGGCCTGGTACACAACATAATATACATCAAACAGCCGATAAGATTTCGGCAAGGGCAATCATATTTTACTTCAGAATTTAACTCATTAAAATTTAGTTTACTGGGAAGGGGAGTGCTGACAGCATTACAGTCAAACATATTAAATTTATTTAAAACAGTATTTATGTATGACGATTGATCTAAAGAAATTTTATCATTTATTCTTGTAATTTTAATACCTAAAAACAGTTTAATATCTTTTAAATCAACCATACAAAATTTATTTGCCAAATAACTTTTAAAACTACTCATTGTATCACTATTTGCAGTGGCAATCACAAGATCGTCTACATAAAGAACAACATAAATATTTTTACATATGGCACCTCTGTCTAAAATATAAATACAGCGGTCAACTGATGAATTCTGAAAACCTTTGTCTATAAGAACTTTTTCAAATATTTCAAACCAGCATCTGGCAGCTTGTTTTAGCCCATACAAAGCTTTATGCAATTTACAAACTTGGTTTGGTTTACTTGTGACCCCTTCAGGGACCTTCATATAAATTTCCTCCTTTAATGTCCCATTTAGAAAGGCTGTTTTAACATCCATATGATGTACTAAAAGATTAAATTGATTTGAAAAGGCAATTATAAACCTAAAAGATGTAATTCTTGCTACTGGGGCAAATGTTTCATCATAATCTACCAAGTATTCTTGACTAAAACCACGCGCTACTAAGCGAGCTTTATATCTTAACGGTTTTCCAAATTCATCATTTTTAATCGAAAACACCCATTTGCAGTCCACTATATTTTTATTTTCTGGTCTTGATACCAATGACCACGTTTTGTTTAACAAGAGGGAATTTATTTCGTCTTGTACAGCTTGTTCCCACTGAAATGTATCTCCTCTATTTTTAATTTCCTTATATGATAAAGGAATTTGACAAACAACTGATTGAGCACATATAAAATGATCATTTGTCGAATCAGTTTCTTTATAAGAAATAGGCAAAAGATTATTGATTCTACCACTTCGTCTTAGTTGGGGTTCACACTGAATATTATTATTTGGCCTATCTGTTTTAATTACAGATTTATTACACTCATTATTATTAACCACTGATCTTGATAAACTGTCAGAGGAGTCAGTTTCTTTACCTACTGATCTTGACAAACAGTCAGAGGAGTCAGTTTCATTACCTACTGATCTTGACAAACAGTCAGAGGAGTCAGTTTTATTACCTACTGATCTTGACAAACAGTCAGAGGAGTCAGTTTCATTACCTACTGATCTTGACAAACAGTCAGAGGAGTCAGTTTCTGGCCTGGACGATAAAAAATTTGTCTCATCTACAATAACATCCCTTACTATAACAAACTTATTGTTATTCACATCCCACACTTTATACCCATTTGGTTCAAAACCAACTAGTATAGCTTTCCAGGATTTATTGTCAAATTTTGTTTTT